TAAAGAAGAAATAGAACACCTAAACAGACCAATTACAAGCAGCGAAATTGAAATGGTAATTAAAAACCTCCCCAAAAACAAAAGCCCAGGACCTGATGGATTTACAAATGAATTCTACCAAAGATTCAGAGACGAATTAGTGCCTATCCGTCACAAACTCTTCCAAAAAATTGAGAAGGAAGGGACAATACCAAACACGTTCTATGAAGCCAATATTACACTAATACCAAAACCGAATAAGGACAACACAAAAAAGGAAAACTATAGGCCAATCTCCCTAATGAACACTGATGCAAAAATCCTCAATAAAATTTTAGCTATCAGAATCCAACAATGTATCCATAAGATAATTCACCACGACCAAGTTGGATTCATTCCAGGGGCACAAGGATGGTTTAACATCCGAAAATCAATCAACGTTATCCAACACATCAACAAAAAGAAATATAAAAACCATATGATAATATCAATAGATGCTGAGAAAGCTTTCGACAAAGTGCAACACCCATTCATGATAAAAGCCCTTGAAATTCTTGGGATACAAGGAACATACCTCAACATCATAAAGGCCATCTATGACAAGCCAACAGCCAGTATCATTCTCAATGGTGAAAAGCTGAAAGCATTTCCATTAAGATCTGGAACAAGACAAGGATGTCCACTCTCACCACTGCTTTTCAATATAATACTGGAAGTCCTAGCCAGAGCAATAAGACAAGAGAAAGACATCCAAGGAATCCAAATAGGAAAAGAAGAAGTCAAACTATCACTATTTGCAGATGATATGATAATATACATAGAGAACCCCAAAATCTCCACAGAAAAACTAATTCAACTCATCAATCAATTCAGTAAAGTGGCAGGATACAAAATCAACACGCAAAAGTCAGTAGCCTTCCTATACACAAACAATAAATCTGAAGAAGAAGAAGAAATCAAAAAAACCACCCCTTTTATTATCGAAACAAAAAAAATCAAATATTTGGGAATAAATCTAACAAAAGAGGTAAAGGACCTATACAAAGAAAACTATAAAACACTGTTAAAAGAAATAGAAGAAGACACAAAGAAATGGAAAGACATCCCCTGCTCATGGATTGGAAGAATAAACATTATTAAAATGGCCATCCTACCAAAAGCAATATACAGATTCAATGCTATTCCAATCAAAATCTCAATGGCATTCATCAAAGAAATAGAACAATTATTGATGAAATTCATATGGAATCACCAAAAACCCTGAATAGCCAAAGCTCTACTGAAAAAAAAGAAGGAAATGAAGGCATCACACTCCCAGACTTCAAACTATACTACAAAGCCATAATCATCAAAACTGCATGGTATTGGAACAAGAACAGACATACAGACCAATGGAATCGAATAGAAAATCCAGAAATAAACCCACAGATTTATGGTCAACTAATCTTTGACAAAGGAGCAAAGACTATGCATTGGAGCAAAGAAAGTTTGTTCAATAAATGGTGCTGGGAAAACTGGGTCGCTACATGCAAAAGAATGAAGCTTGACCACTACCTCACACCATACACAAAAATCAACTCAAAATGGATTAAAGAACTAGACATAAGACCTGAAACCATAAAATACATAGAAGGAAATATAGGCGAAACACTACGGGATTTGCACATCAAAGACATCTTTACAGACACATCACCCAAAGCAGTGATAGTGAAGAGAAAGATAAACAGCTGGGACTACATCAAATTCAAGAGCTTCTGCACAGCAAAAGAGACAATAACAAAAACAAAGAGAAACCCCACCAACTGGGAGAACATTTTTGCACCCAACACTAATGATAAAGGACTGATCACAAAAATCTGCAAAGAGCTGATGAGACTCAGCAACAACAAAGAAAATAATCCAGTCAAAAAATGGGCAGAAGAGCTAAAAAGAAACTTCTCTGAAGAGGAAATGCAAATGGCCAACAGACATATGAAAAAATGTTCAACATCACTTGTAATCAGGGAAATGCAAATCAAAACTACCATGAGATACCATCTCACACCAGTGAGAATGGCACATATTAAAAAAACTAGCAACAACAAATGTTGGCGAGGATGTGGAGAAAAAGGAACTCTTGTGCACTGTTGGTGGGAGTGCAAACTGGTCCAACCACTATGGAGAGCTGTGTGGAGATTTCTGGACCTACTAAACATAGAGCTTCCATATGATCCAGCAATTCCACTCCTAGGTATTTACCCAAAGGACACAGAAACATCAATTCCAAAGAGCACCTGCACTCCTATGTTTATAGCAGCACTGTTTACAATAGCTAAGCTTTGGAAACAACCCAAATGCCCAAAAATAGATGACTGGATCAAGAAGATGTGGTACATATATACCATGGAATATTACTCAGCATTCAAAAACGATAAACACATGCAATTTGCAGCAACATGGATGGCACTGGAAGGGATCATGCTCAGCGAAATAAGCCAAAAAGAAAAAGAAAAATACCGGATGGTCTCACTCATAGCAGGAATCTAGAAAACTTAAATAAGGGACCAGGAAAATGAATATAAGAAAGTGAAAATCAAAATCAACAAAAAACTTTGAACCAGAGACACTTTTTGGGGGGTGGGGGGCGGGAGGGGAAGGATTGGGGTCAGAATGGGGCGTTTGCAATTGTATGGGGGAATAAAAAAATAAAATTTAATATTTAAAAAAAAATCTCCTGGAATTAATAAATGATTAAACAGTAGTATAAATACAAAATATTCTTATTAAAAAAGAATCATTAGGAAAACATGCAACCCAGGGCTTCCCTGGTGGCCTAGGTTAAGCCTCAGTGCTCTCAACACTGCAGCCTGAGTTGGATCCCTGGCCAGGGAGCTAGCCATGTGTAGCACAGACCTCTTCTGTCTCGCCAGCTGTTCCCCTCAGCAGTTTATTTCAGTCAATCCACCTGTTCTGCTCCCCAATCTGTCTCTGGTGAATCTTCTAATCCCCCCACCTCTGGCCTGTACCTCAGATGTTTCATGGATAAATGAATAAATACTTTTTAAAAATAAAAGATCTGAACAGACACTTCACCATAGTATCCACATGATAAACAGGTGCATAGAAAGATTTTAAATATAATGTCATCAGAGAATTTAAAATTAAAAGAGAATTATATCACCACATACCTATTAAAATGACAAAATTCCCAAGCACAACAACCCCAAGTTCTCGAGAGGATGTGTAGTAACAGAAATTCCTCATTATTGATGGGATTGCAAAATGGCACCGCCACTTGGGAAGATGGTTTGAAATTGTATCTATACAAACTGTTTTGTTCTTATAAAACTAAACATACTCTTACTATATGATCCATAAATTGTCCTCACTGGTATTTATTCAAGTAAATTTTTAAAAGTAGTCCTACAGAAAAACCTGCATAGAAATGTTTGTACAGGCTCTATCCATAATTACTAAAACTTGGAAGCAACCAAGATAGTCTTTAACAGATGAACTGATAAGCTGTAGTATATTCAGACAATGAGCTATATAGCTCAGTGGTCAAAAAAAAAAGTTATCACATACATATATACATATACTTGTGCCTTGAAAACATATATATGTGTGTGTAAGTTATTCCTTTATCAAATGATATAAAATAAACAACACAAAGAGTAAAACCTAATGTAAAATATGGACCTTAAAGATAATGTATCAATAATGGTTCATCAATTGTAACAGCTGAACCACAGCAATGCAAGATATTAATAAGAAGGAACACTGTTTTTGGAAGTTTGAGGGGATGTATGGGAACTATGAGATTTCCACTCAATTTTTCTCCAAATATTAACTCATAAAATAAAGTCTATTAATTTAAAAACTACAAAATAAATAATTGAAATTTACTGAGACGTGGCGTGGCAGTGAGTGAACAAAACATATTTTTACCACATTTAGTAAGTTTTCTTCAGTAGCTTAAAGACAAAAAAAAATAGAAAAGAGAAAATAATAAGTAATTCACCAGTATTTATCAAGCCCTATATTTTCTGTAATAGAATTTGTGTGACATTTAGATAAATACTCAATCAGAAAAGAATGGAAATTCACTGAATGGTTGTGCCTATTAATAAAGTAAACAAGATTAATTTACATGGTTAAATACACTGAAAAAATAGGAAGCTTTTAGTGCAGTTCTTAGCACATAGTATATGCTCAACAAAGCTAACAAGTGCTGGGTAGTTTGTGGTCTGTGTGACAGAAGTGAAACACTTAATGCACATGATAAGAATTCAGAGAACAGGGCCTCCCTGGCGGTGCAAGGGGTTTAGCACCACACTATGAAGCTGTCCTCAGCGTATGCAGCATGAGTTCGATACCCAGCCAGCCAGGGAGCAACTCACATGGAGCAGCAGACATCTCCTGTCTCGCCCGCTGCTCCCCTCAGCAGTGTATTTCAGTTGATCTGCCTCTTCTGTCCCCCCCGCCCCCGTGTCTCTGGCCTGTACCCCAGCTCTTGTATACATAAATAAATAAATCTTTAAAAGAAAAGAATTCAGAGAACAGAGAACTTACTGCAAACTGGAATACTTGTGATGGAACTGAAATTTGCGCTAATGTTAACACAAACAAAAATAGTATCTGATAGGCAAATAAAATAAATACAAGCAAACCCACAAGGAACAATAGAAAGGTGTTGAACAAGTGAAACATGTCATGAACAGACATGCTGAAGTCTAAGCCCCTTGGTCACTGATTGCAAATATGTCATGGTGTTTCATTGCCAAGAAAGGCAGTCGTTCCAGGCAGCCATCACAAGAGGATTCTGTGTCATGAAGCAAGCAAGCCCACCCAGGGGAGCTGAAAATAGAGTGGCCTGAAGAAAGGCAGTGATGGTGGACTCAGCCCAGTTAGCAAATGCGGAGGTGCACACAGATCACACACAGTGTGACTTTGGTCTAGGCAAAAAAAAACAATAACAACAAAAAAAAAAACACTTCTTCTGTCTCTCCATTCCCTGAAACTTCACCAACAGAAATAATAGCAATCAAAGGGTGCTTCTTAGTAAATTTCATGATGTAGCCTGAAGGATGTTTCCTAAGTGAAGAACAAAATGAGCAACAGCACATAAACATTCAGACATTACAGCAATTTCATTCATTTGAAGTTTAAAATCACTACATAGTATTGCTGGTTTAGCATAACCTAATGGTGATAGTCATTATTTTTCTTAAGAGTTTGTAAAGATATAATCCAAATACCATAAAAGTCACCCATTAGAGCATACAAATGAATGATAACTTCACAGTTGTGCAAACATCACCAAAATAAAATTTGGAACATTTTCATCACCCCCAAATTAACCCTAGACCATTAGCAGATACTTCCCTTTTGCACCAACTCTTGGGCTTGGCAAAATCCAATCTACTCTGTCTCTCTGTAGATACCCCTCATCGGGTTTTTGGAATTAATGGAATCTTATAGGAAGTTATGTTCTGTGTCTTGATTTTTTGACTTAGCATAAGACTTTCAAAATCCATCCAGGTCTCAGAATTTTATTCCTTTTTTTTTAAAGATTTATTTATTTATTTATACAAGCACTGGGTACAGTCAGAAGCGCGGGCGGGTGAGAGAATTCACCAGAGCCAGAGCGGGGAGCAGAGCAGGCAGAAGGACCGAAGGACACTGCTGAGGGGAGCAGCGGGCGGCAGGAGAGGTCTGCGCGTCCTGTGGGACCCTCCTCCGGTGGCCGGGGTGCAGCCGGGGATCGAACCAGCACTGCAGAGGCCGTGGGCAGCTTCGCATCCCAGCGCTCAACAGTTGTGCCCCCGGGGAGGCCACTTTTTATGCTTTTTCTTGATGCAGCAGATGGTAGACCCTTTCTAGAGCGGATATTCTGGGGGCTTTGCGGTCCCCCCCAACAATAGGACTTTTTAAATTCCCAATTTCGACTTCACGCCCCCCCAGAAGACGAAGGAGGTGAGTGACAGACACAGAACCACCCCTGCACGCACGCGTCTCTCCACACTCTGAGGACAGCCGCCCTCACGACCCCTGGGGACACCCCATGTCCAGCGGCGCCGAAGGAGCTGCGCCCCGGGAGAGTCGAGGGAGGACTGAGAAGCCGGAGGAGGCGCCGCCAGCTCAGACCCCGGCGCGCGGGGAGGAAGTGCCCGTGACGGGCTGACGCGCCCGGGCGCTGAGACTGTCGCCGCGCGGGGAGGACACGCGGGTCATGGGGGCGCGAGAGGGGGACGTCCAGCTGGGGACCCAGGATGGTCCATCCCTCTGCGGAGCACCCCGCGGCAGCGCGAGCCCCCGCAGGCGATGGTGCCAGGGCAGCCTCTTCCCAGGCGGGTGCAGGTCCCCCCGCGCACCGCCGCCCCTGGCTTCTCATCACCCCGTTTCCTCCGCCGGCCTCGACGGCCGCTGTGGAGAGAATACCCCGTGAGCGCCTTCAGGACGTTCGCGCCTGATGGAGGAATCCACCCGCTGAGGGCCGCCTCCTGGCACCTCCAGGTCTGGGCCACCTCCGCACCCTGACTCCACCCTGCCCCGGGAGGCAGCGGCTCCAGCTTCCCCGACAGCGTCCCTGGAGGGCCTGGAGCCACCGGAGCCTGTACAGGGCTCATTGCAGAGGGAAAACATTCCCGGGCTACTCAACAGTGACCACGGCGAGCGCCAGGGGCCTTTTCACAGACTCCACATGTCCTTCACACTGTTTCCTCAGCTCACCCCCGAAAGGCCGGCGAGCAGGGTGTGCAGAGTCACGGCGAGACGGTGCCCCGAGTGGCGTCCACGTCCTCCACCCCAGCTCTCTGCAGGAGGACAGCCCCAATCACTCTCTCCTCAGGTCTGAGAGAGTCCACACTTCACCTCACCTTGGCCGACATGTGGGTCACCGCAGCCAAGCCCAGGAAAGTCTCATGAAACTAGCTGGAAACGACGCGGCCTCTCCCCGCACGAGACTGCTTGATGCCCATGCCTTCTTGTGATAAGGTGAGCAGTTCCTCCTGGCCTGCTCTCGGGATGTATTTCCTTTCTCTCGGGATGTTCCACATATTCTTGCACACATCCAAGTTTTTACAGATTTGTTTCATGAATCTACACATATTTATTATTAGTATTCTTCAAAATGATATCACAAGTCAGATTAATTTATAACTAAGAATTTGATAAGGTAACTCTAGCTCAATTATGTGGCTTTCCAAAATACTCGTTTAACGAATACTTAAGATTTATTTATTTATGCACACAAGAGCTGGGGGACAGGCCGTAGATGCCAGGGTTGAGAGGATTCACCAGAGACAGAGCAGGGAACAGAGCAGGCCGACTGACAAAATACACTGCTGAGGGGCGCAGCAGGCCAGTCAGGAGAGGTCTGAGGCACATGGCAGTCAGCTCCCTGGCCGGCTGGGGATCCAACTTGTGCACAGTGGCTGGCAGTAGTTTGAGAGCACTGTGTTTAACCCCTGGGCCACCAGGGAGGCCCCTTACCTTTAGTTTGAGGTCAGAAGTGTGACTCCTTCATTTCCCCCCGCTTTTAATCAGGAAAGCTTTGGTTATTTGGGGTCTTTTGTGTTTCCATATGAACCTCAGTAATCTTTGTTGTATTCCTCTGAAGAATGTCATTGGGATATTTATTGGGGTTGCAGTGAATCTAGAAGGGGCTTTGGGTTGGATGGCCCTTTGGACAATGTTGATTCTTTCACCCCATGAGCTGGGTCTTTCTTTCCATTTCTCTAAGCTTTCTATTATTTTTTTCCACAATGTTTGATAGTTTTCCTTGTAAAAGTCTTTCACCTCCTCTGTTAAATTTATTCCCAGTTAATTTTTTTGTGTGTGCAATTGTAGGTGGGATGGCTTTGTTAATTTCCTCTTCTAGTTCATTATTTGTACTTAGGAAGGCATATGTTTTTCAATGCAGAGTTTGGTGGCATTACATACACTCACTCTGTCGTGTAACTCTTATTTCTGAAACCAGGGTGTCCCAAAGGCTTACATACACCCCCAAAATAGACCTGCATTCTTTCTGCTCATTGCTTAACCCTTTGCACTCCGCTGACCCCTCTCAGGGGACATCGGAATTCTAGCATATCACTCGGATTTCCCCTCTCAGGGGACATTGCAATTTATTAGTGATTATGGGGAATTGAGTTATTTCAACACAACTTTTTGAGACATGCATGTTTCCTTGAAGTTTTATCTTGAAATGGCACAAGAAATTAAATCAAAATATCGTAAAATTACTAAGATATATACAAGAAATGTCAGCGGGTTTTGTGTCGGACAAGAATGTGAGATGCGTGCTCACGACGGTCCGAGCACTTCGCGACACCACTTGAAAAGAGTGATACGGGGAGTTTGTAGAAGAACGGTCGGTTTTCAAACAGTGCGTACTGTGTAGTGAGATATATAATTACAAATAAACAAGTCTACATCTGGAGGAAAAGACTTTCAAAGCTGAGCTCATTTTGGTTTGAAGCTTCGAGCAGTGCACATAGATCTAAAGAGGAGAAAATTGGAAAAGTGATTCTTTTCTTAGTGAATAAATTGTTTGGTGAAAGCTATTTTGGTAAATATCATCTTGTCAGTTAGTAATAACAATTAGAAACTTTCAACCCATGCATTTATTTATATTTTTTATTAGAACAATGGCAAAGCGTCCAACCACGAATGAGTCTCATGACACAAGTAGTAGTAAAGATGAGCTCCACTAATAAGCCTGCAATGCATATTGGGGAGTGTTACAAAACTTATCATACTGTACAAAATTATAAACAATAAAATGTTTTTTTTTTTGCAAATATACATTCCTCGATGTCACCCAATTCATATAAGTCTCTGGGCTGTGCTGATGCTGCGCGTCCTGACCCCAGGATGTGGCTGAGCTGGGCAAGGTCCCCACGGAGCACGGGGGAGGCCTCTCCTGGGCCTCCGCCAACAGCATCACCACCCACCTGGGCCGCCCACCCATCTGCAGAGGCCTCCCCCGCCACACCACTGGACGCCCCAACACACCTGCAGGGGGACGTGACACGACCCCCTGAACACTTCACCTTCAGAGCAGAGAGTGACCCTTGCTGCAACAGCCGACATGGGTCACGTCACAGCAACAGGCACTTCCAGGGAACGTGGCACTAGCAGAGGAGCGTTGTCTTAGCAAACCCTGCAGGCCTCTTTGGACCAGGTCTGAGGTGAAGGCTGAGGGGCCCAATGCCATCTTTAATGGGCGCTCAAGGACACCTAGGAGCCTGCAGCATCGTGGAAAGCGCCCTGCGGCCTAGGGGTGAAAACCTCAGCAACCTCCCATGGCGCGTTGAGGAATATGGCCCATGGCCCCAACACTCCAGGTGGAGTATGAAGGGACCAATGTACCTCCCCCTGAATCAGGGAGGATGCTCTCAGGGGACAGACACCCCATCAGTCACCGACCTGGAAACACAGGACGGGGGCTCTGGCCGTAGAGATGTTCCTGACTGAGGAAGCTGCATAGAGGGCATGGACAGGGAGTAGCGGGTGCCCAAGTCCCAAATCCATGATCAGAGAAACAATCCCCGATGGACGGGCCCCGAGCACAGCCCTGCGGAGAGGACGCCGCGGAGCCGACACAGGGCACGACTGCAAATCCACAGACCAAGGCTAGGTGTGGACATGCAGGCGAGTAACGGGGGCAAACTCAGCGGGCCTCGGAGCCTCAGGAGAGGACTCAGGCCAAGCCCCTCAGCAAGAGACACACCACAGAGACCCCCACGACCAGCATCCGCTCCCTAACCGCCACAGCCGCGGGAGCCCCTGCTTCTCGGCCCCAGCGGCCACCCCTCGGGACTGTTCTGCTCAGGGAGCTTTATTGTCCTTACTCCTGTGAGTAAATGTCTGGCTCTTCTGGAACTCTGGGCTCCACTTGGAAGTACTTTCGCACCAAAGACAAGAAATGAGGAAGAGCACACCCGAGGCCTCACACTCCGGGCCTGCTGCACAAACTCTCCGCTAGGCATCACCACGGAGCCAAAGAAACACATCAGATGGTGCCCGGGGCCCCTGAAGGGGGAGTGGGAGCAAGAGTTATATCAAGGACTTTCTCAGCCACCACATTCCACACCAACCACTCACCCCAAGCTATGAACTGACTCAGACAAAGACCACATTCAGGACACGGCCAGCAACGGCGGAAGGGATTATGTTCTGAACAAAGAGTGAAGGAAAAAGACCTGGATTACATCATCACCTCCAGGAGGAATACAGGGGAACGAAGAAAGGGTCAGGGGAAAAAAAAAAACTAGCAGGCAGATGACAGAGCTGAGATGCCAGCAGGGGATGGGGCAGAAGAGGGGCCAGGAGGGGAGGAGGAGCACCAGGGCCTGGGGTGACGGGTCACAGGGGCGGTGCGGACAGGACATTTATAAGAATTATACAGAAAGGGAGCAATCCAATGTTGCACAAAGATGAACAATAATTTAATAAAAAAATTAACAGGCAAGAATCCTATCCTTTAAAAAAAAATTCAGGGGCCTAAGTTGGCGCAGGGGTGAAGTATCACCACTATGAAGCTGTTCTCAGTACTGCAGACATGAGTTCGATCCCTGGCCGGGGAGGTGACTCAAGGGCACAGTAGACCTCTCCTGTGTCCCCACTGCCCCCTTCAGCAGTGGATTTCAGTAGATCCGCTTGTAGTGCACCCCACTCTCTCGGTGGAGAATCCTCTCACCCCCTCATACCTCCGGCTTGCACCCAGATCTTGTATGCAGAATTAATCTTCCAACAAAATTCCCTTATTTTGTAGAACTGGGGTGTAGACCAGAGCTTCGGGGGTGTTAGGATTCACCAGATAATGAGTGTGGTGACAAACAGGCAGAACCACTGAAATACCTGGCTAACGGGAGCAGCGGGTGACACAGGAGAGGCCTGCTGCGGCCATATGTGGGGCGGCTTCCTAGCTGGGGCTGAAACCCTGGCCAGAGCAGGCAATAGCGCTGAGACTTAACCCCAAGGCCACCAGGGAGGCCCCGAAAAACCTTCATCATGAAAAGTAGGTAAAGACATCTGCAGACCTCAACCTATAGCCGATAGCACAGTTCAACGTTTCCTTCTAGAGGAGGACATTTTGGTGGTGAGCAATTCCAGCATCAGGGGGCACCACAGAGACCTAGAGTACTGAACAGAATGTGACGACTAAGTTACAAAACCCAGAGAGATCACTTACCCACGCAACATGCAGTGTGCCATGTAGACAGACAGCTGCTGTGGACAGGCATAGCATCGCCCAGGAACTTAAGAGGATACTAGAGGCAACGGCAACAGGAACAGCAACATCATGACTGCATGAACTTGGGAGAACAGAGTGAACCAGGTAACTCCACGCAATTAGGATTGAAACCGTATGTCAGTTCCCATTGCTCTCAGCTGCATGATGTGGTTTGAGCTCCTACGTTTGAATATTTTTAAAAGATTTTTATTTATTCAAACATACAAGAACCAGGGTACAGGCCAGATGTGTGGGAGGGTGAGAGCATGCAGCAGAGACAGAGCGGGGAACAGTACAGGCAGACTGACCGAAATACACTGCTGAAATACATGCAGTGGGCCAGAATGGAGAGGTCTGCCGCACCATGGGGCTGCTCCTGGCCGGCCAGGAAATCAAACTCCCACCGCAAAGTCACGGACAGCTTCACAGCAATGCGCTTAACCACCTGCACCACCAGGGGAGGATTGCCTGCACACTCTTGACATTCATAGTGTTTCCCTCCAGTGTGGAGTTTGTCATGCCTAGTGAGGGCTGACTTCCTGAAAAGTATTCCCACTCTTCACAATCATAGGGATTTTGTCCAGCGACATCTCTGATGTCCAGTGAGAGCTTGCTTACGGGAAAAAGTTTTTCCACACTCTTGACACTCATAAGGCTTCTCTCCACTGTGACTTCTCTGATGTTTACTGAGGGATGATTTCTGGTGGAAAGCCGTCCCACATTCTTGACACTCATAGGATTTCCCTCCATTATGAATTCTCTGATGTGTAATGAGGTGTGACTTACGTGAAAAAGCTTTCCCACACGCTTCACAATCATAGGGTTTCTCTCCAGCGTGACTTCTCTGATGTCTAATGAGGTTGGACTTACGGGAAAAAGCTTTTCCACACCCTTCACAATCATAGGGTTTATCTCCATTGTGACTTCTCTGATGTCTAATGAGGTTGGACTTACGGGAAAAAGCTTTCCCACACCCTTCACAATCATAGGGTTTCTCTCCAGTGTGAATTCTCTGATGTTTACTGAGGGATGATTTCCACTGGAAAGTCTTCCTACACTCTTGACATTCATAAGGCTTCTCTCCAGTGTGACTTCTCTGATGGAGACTGAGGGATGATTTCCATTGGAAATTCTTACGACACTCTTGACATTCATAAGGCTTCTCTCCACTGTGAATTCTCTGATGCTCCTTGAGGTAACACTTACTGGAAAAAGCTTTCCCACAACGTTCACATTCATAGGGTTTCTCTCCAGTGTGAATTCTCTGATGTCTAATAAGGTGTGCCTTACGATAAAATGCTTTCCCACACCCTTCACAATCATAGCGTTTCTCACCAGTGTGACCGCTCTGATGTTCAGTGAGGGATGATTTCCAGTCGAAAGTCTTCCTGTACCCTTTACATTCATAAGGCTTCATTCCAGTGTGACCTCTCTGATGGTGAGGGAGGGATGATTTCCAGTGGAAAGTCTTCCTACACTCTTGACATTCGTAAGGCTTCTCTCCAGTGTGAATTTTCTGATGCTCAGTAAGGTGAGACTTCCTGGAAAAAGCTTTCCCACACCTTTCACATTCATAGCATTTCTCTCCAGTGTGAGTCCTCTCATGTAGAACACGAACTGACTTACCGGAGAACACTTTCCTGCACGCCTGACATTCATAGGATTTCTCCCTTGTATGAGTTTCTGATGGACACTAAAAGCAAGTTTCTGCCTGAAAGTTTTCTTACACACCTGACACGGGTAGCGCTTCACTCCCGTTTGAGACTGTGGATGTAAGTGAGGGCAGTCTTCCATGAGTAAGTTTTCACATAAACGTTAGAGCCAAACAACTTCACTGCAGTGAGATTTCTCTGGTATCCCCTCTGTAAGGAAATCTCAGCGGTGCCCCCACACTCATCAGGTTGATCGTCTGCTTTTGTTTTCTGATGTTCAGTCAGAACAGAGGTTTTAGAGGCCGCTTCACCATATCTCTTATATCCCAAATTATTCTTCCCTAACTGGGTACTCTCATGCGGATAGGTGTGAAATGTGTTTCTGAGACTGGCCCCACTTTCATAACATTTCTGCTGCTCATGTTCAACATACCTAGGAGGATTCAAATGCACTGGAGTCATCTCCGCAGCTCTCCCCTTTTCATTACAACTGCAGCGAGTCTGTCCTCCTTGGGTTCTGTCTCGGACAACGAAAGGTACCTTATCACGGGTGTCACTGCACTCATTGCATTTATGGACAATCCCTTCCAGAAGGGCTCCTCTAGGTGTAAATACTGTTTCTTCACTCATGACTTTTCCTTGTTCACGAAATTCAAAAGGCTGTTGAATTTCTCAATCACCTGGTGACTAAGGTGCTCAGGATACTTGATGGGTTCCCTCATTCTACTAGAGACCTCCTTATTCTCTCCAGCATGTTCTTCATGAGGCTCAACAGGGATCATCATGGTCCTATGTATAAAGTTCTCAGACATCACTGCTGAATTGTTTTCATTTTTGATACTATTGTTCAAACAATGAATTGAGTGCAAATGATTTTTTCCATTAAGTCAGTTCTCTCGTTGGATGGTGTTTTGCTGCTGGTGGTAAGAACTTGCCACAAATGTCTGCCCTGATTTGCAGGGCTGTCCTGAGTCAGGTGCCACAGTACAGACATCTAAAGTGAGGAGATAAAAATTGCCATGTCTAAAAGGAAGCATTCTGAGTGAATACTACTAAGCGGCATGGAAGTTCTATATTACAACATAATTTACAGGTATTGATTTTCTGATTCATGCTTT